ATCCCAAAGTTGCTGCTAAACCAGATCCTAAAACTGCAGCTAAGCCCACCAGTAAAAAGCCTATGGAGGATGAAGAACTTCCTGCTGATTTGGTAGCAGGCCCAGATAAGAAGGACCCGAAGATGAGCTTGAAGGATCCTAAGACTGCAGCTAAACCTGATCCTAAAGTGGCAACTAAGCCAGACCCTAAGACCGCTGCCAAGCCTGATCCTAAGGTTGCAGCTAAGCCAGATCCTAAGACCGCTGCTAAGCCCGATCCTAAGACCGCTGCCAAGCCCGATCCCAAAACGGTAGCTAAGCCCACTAGTAAAAAACCTATGGAGGATGAAGAACTTCCAGCTGATTTGGTAGGAGGCCCAGATAAGAAGGACCCGAAGATGAGCTTGAAGGATCCTAAGACTGCAGCTAAACCTGATCCTAAAGTGGCAACTAAGCCAGATCCTAAGACCGCTGTCNGACTGCAGCTAAACCTGATCCTAAAGTGGCAACTAAGCCAGATCCTAAGACCGCTGTCAAGCCTGATCCTAAGGTTGCAGCTAAGCCCACCAGTAAAAAGCCTATGGAGGATGAAGAACTTCCTGCTGATTTGGTAGGAGGCCCAGATAAGAAGGACCCGAAGATGAGCTTGAAGGATCCTAAGACTGCAACTAAACCTGATCCCAAAGTGGCAACTAAGCCAGATCCTAAGACCGCTGCCAAGCCTNATGAAGAACTTCCTGCTGATTTGGTAGCAGGCCCAGATAAGAAGGACCCGAAAATGAGCTTGAAGGATCCTAAGACTGCAGCTAAACCTGATCCTAAAGTGGCAACTAAGCCAGATCCTAAGACCGCTGCCAAGCCTGATCCTAAGACCGTTGCTAAGCCGGATCCTAAGACCGCTGCCAAGCCCGATCCTAAGACCGCTGCCAAGCCTGATCCTAAGAAAGCAGTCCCAGCTAAGCCTACGAGTAAGAAACCTACCGAAGATGAAGAACTTCCTGCTGACTTGGTGGGAGGACCAGACAAGAAGGACCCGAAGATGAGCTTGAAGGATCCTAAGACTGTAACTAAACCTGATCCCAAAGTGGCAACTAAGCCAGACCCTAAGACCGCTGCCAAGCCTGATCCTAAGGTTGCTGCTAAACCAGACCCTAAAGCATCCGCTAAGCCAGATCCTAAGACCGCTGTCAAGCCTGATCCTAAGGTTGCAGCTAAGCCCACCAGTAAAAAGCCTATGGAAGATGAAGAACTTCCTGCTGACTTGGTGGGAGGACCAGACAAGAAGGACCCGAAGATGAGCTTGAAGGATCCTAAGACCGCTGCCAAGCCTGATCCTAAGGTTGCAGCTAAGCCAGATCCTAAGACCGCTGCCAAGCCTGATCCTAAGGTTGCTGCTAAACCAGATCCCAAAACTGCAGCTAAGCCCACCAGTAAAAAGCCTATGGAGGATGAAGAACTTCCTGCTGATTTGGTAGGAGGCCCAGATAAGAAGGACCCGAAGATGANAGGTTGCAGCTAAGCCGGATCCTAAGACCGCTGCTAAGCCTGATCCTAAGAAAGCAGTTCCAGCTAAGCCTACGAGTAAGAAACCTACCGAAGATGAAGAACTTCCTGCTGACTTAGTGGGAGGACCAGACAAGAAGGACCCGAAGATGAGCTTGAAGGATCCTAAGGTTGCAGCTAAACCTGATCCTAAGACCGCTGCCAAGCCTGATCCTAAGGTTGCAGCTAAGCCGGATCCTAAGACCGCTGCTAAGCCTGATCCTAAGAAAGCAGTCCCAGCTAAGCCTACGAGTAAGAAACCTACCGAAGATGAAGAACTTCCTGCTGACTTGGTGGGAGGACCAGACAAGAAGGACCCGAAGATGAGCTTGAAGGATCCTAAGGTTGCAGCTAAACCTGATCCTAAGACCGCTGCCAAGCCTGATCCTAAGGTTGCAGCTAAGCCGGATCCTAAGACCGCTGCTAAGCCTGATCCTAAGAAAGCAGTCCCAGCTAAGCCTACGAGTAAGAAACCTACCGAAGATGAAGAACTTCCTGCTGACTTGGTGGGAGGACCAGACAAGAAGGACCCGAAGATGAGCTTGAAGGATCCTAAGGTTGCAGCTAAACCTGATCCTAAGACCGCTGCCAAGCCTGATCCTAAGGTTGCAGCTAAGCCGGATCCTAAGACCGCTGCTAAGCCTGATCCTAAGAAAGCAGTCCCAGCTAAGCCTACGAGTAAGAAACCTACCGAAGATGAAGAACTTCCTGCTGACTTGGTGGGAGGACCAGACAAGAAGGACCCGAAGATGAGCTTGAAGGATCCTAAGACTGCAACTAAACCTGATCCCAAAGTGGCAACTAAGCCAGATCCTAAGACCGCTGCCAAGCCTGATCCTAAGGTTGCAGCTAAGCCGGATCCTAAGACCTCTGTTAAGCCTGATCCTAAGAAAGCAGTCCCAGCTAAGCCTACGAGTAAGAAACCAACCGAAGATGAAGAACTTCCTGCTGACTTGATGGGAGGACCAGATAAGAAGGATCCGAAGATGAGCTTGAAGGATCCTAAGACTGCAGCTAAACCTGATCCTAAGGTGGCAGCTAAGCCAGATCCTAAGACCGCTGCCAAGCCTGATCCTAAAAAAGCAGTCCCAGCTAAGCCTGCCAGTAAGAAACCTACCGAAGATGAAGAACTGCCTGCTGACTTGGTGGGAGGACCAGACAAGAAAGACCCAAAGATGAATTTGAAGGATCCCAAAAAACCAGAGAAGGCTACTCCAAAGGGTAAGGACGATAAGCCGAAAACGAAGACTCCTCTGAAAGTAAAACCAAATGATGATGAGGATGATGTTGATGTTGATGCCTCATTTCCTTTGAAACCTAAAAGCAATAAACCATTGAAAATTAAACCAGACGATGATGATGAGGAACCTTGTGCTGAAGGAAGTTTCAAACTGCCGTCCAAGGATAACGATGATAGTGATATTGACGAAGAGGAGCCTTGCGATGAAGAAGATGAGCCCGACGACGATGAAGAAGAGCCTATTGTAGATGAAGAGGAGGCCGACGACGAAGAGGAAGATGAGGAAGAACCAAATGAGGAAGAAAAAGAAAACCCAGGTATGTTTCTGAGTATAACACAGCGAATAAGTTTCATAGACGTAAATGGCGAAGGTACCTACACGCCACATTGGGTTGCTCCTGTGAAAGAGCCTGAAGAGCCGATACCCATGCCGCCCGTTCAAAAGACGATCGCAGAGATAAATAAGGAGGAACGAATCCCTCCATCTATTCGTTATGCTAGAAAACCCAGAAAAACGTATTCGATTCGTTGATATTTCTCTTCAAGTATAAAATTTTAGGCTGGTGGCCATACCTTTTGTGATACCATGGGAACAAAGTGCTGCCCTGATTACTCAAGAAGGTATGGGAGCTTTCGGAAAGCCTCGTAGCGCTAATGTTAAAGTAGATATGGGAAAAAAAGATTTAGTACAGGTTAATTAAGACAATTTAATCATTTTAAATATGTTATTATAAAGGGTGCTCTTGAATCAGAGACAGTGATACCAATGATGAACGATCCTAGAAAGTGTGCAAATAGGAAAGGAATGCGTCCTTTCGGAGGAAACCGATTGAATATCTCTCAAGTAGTAGATTCTCATGTTTATCAAAACAATGATGTGAGATTTAATTGGTTTATCCTAAAACTGTTTATGTTTATAGAACGGAGCAAGTGAATCCATAATTCCTTTGATGGCTAAAGGATCGAAGATTCAACAGAAAGACGATTTTGGTAATCTCCGTTCACAGGTATTTATCGAAGAAAATTCATGAGAAGATTGTTTCTTGAGGTTACGAGTGTGAAGTATACTGAAAAAATGGATCCTGGTATGCACAAAGAGTCTCATGGGTTCATTTCTAAGCAATTTGAATCAGCAAAGCAAACTGCTGGTAGTAATGTATTGGATAGACGACGAGATATGGTAATTATTAATTTGTTCACTTAGTGAAAACGTTGAATACTGTAGGTACCTTCATACCAGGAGCTGAGTAAGGAAGGTGAGGGTATGATTCCTTTGATGTTTGATGGAAGAGCTGTCATGCTCAAAGAAGGATCTGAATTTGGTTTGTTAATCATTACTAATTATCAGCTCGCTTTTGCTGTTTTCAGGATCATTCCGGCCGTTGATGATAGAAGCGTCTGGTGGATACCCAATGAGTTATGAACAGGAACTTCAATGCAAAAAATTCATACCTTTCCAGGTAATTTTATATTTTTATGTTTCTGCAAGAGCTTAAACATGTTCATAAACATACGTACTCATATTTATCATGTAATGAAGAGATTAAGAGGTTATTAGATTCTGAATACGTTAGTTACTAATAAGCAGTGATATAGAATTATTCATTTTGTATTGAATCATTCATGAGACACGTGAAATGCCACGTGATTCAGCTGAAGGATAAAGTTCATTTGAATGTTGTAGATGCTAGAGAGCGGTTGTATTTATTCTGTTCGTCTCATTATATTAAGTATTTCAGACAGCGCCATCCTTATCGACATAGGGAAAACGAAATATTTAATTGAATCTCTCCCTGTGATATTTCTATGTATAAATGACAGTTTATTAATCATTCTTAATCTTTTCTTTGTAAGACATCTCAAAGCAAGACCAATAGTATAATGAAAGCAATTTTCTAATGAACATGAATAGTATGTAGAGTGGAACGAACAGTATAATAGCAATGTCAATGGAGAATGTTGTTATAACAGATGAATTATTTGAGTTCTTGCTTTTCAAGCTTTTTGCAATCAGAAGGTCAATATCTTCTGATTGCTTTGATAGCATATCCTTAATGCTTTGCACATTAACCGCATATCTGAAATGCATGTAATGAGTCCTTGTGTCTGCTATGGGATCTGAGAGTATTTTTGTTTTGCTTACCTTGCTGATAAAATTGTATCATAATGAATTAATAAATTATTATCAGCCACAATTGAAACTTCTCTGCAAAGTTGTTTTACAGAAGACTGGCATAGATTAAGGTAGAAAATACATTTTTTCGAAGGCTTGTAGATTTTTTTCCAACAAATCACTTTGTCCTAATATGAGTGTTGGAATTCCATTATGTAAAGCTTCTACCATATCAGAATAATCACCATTGCTAATCAATAGTTTGGCATTTGCAAAATCTTAATTTATTTCTTTTGTTTTTCCAGATATCATGAGCTTTGACCTACTTGGCTTGCTCACGACCAGTTGGACGTTCGCTGGGACTTCATGTTGAGCTTTTGTCAACCAAACAAACTTTGTCGTTTTCTTTGCTCTACAAAAAGGTTCAGATGAGATTTAAGAATTAGGATACTACCTGAATAGTTCAAAAAGGGCATTCCTAGAGGATTCCGATAACGAGTTGTTATCATCCAAAGCAACGATAACAACAGAGTTTTCAGCTTTCTTAAGTAGAGTGATGAAAGCTCCAAAATCTCGCTTATCCCAACCTTTGGACTTTTGTTGTTCGGAGAGTTGTTCATAAAATGAATTCGATTGTTAAACGATAAATCATTGTGTAGTATAGGCTGAGCTCCGCTTATAATCGTTGTTATCTGTAAATTAAATAAAACATATAGTTAATTATTATCTTTAATTATACCTGATGACGAAGTGTTGCTATTGAAGGAAAGTCGTCGCTGTATTGCTGCTGGAAGAGCTCAGTCAATGAACTGTGCTGAACTTTGTATTCTTAGTTGCTTCTTGTGCTTTGCATGACTCACCAAAAACCACCATTCACTCAGATAGTTGAATGCTCCAATGAATATTTGCTGGAATTTTTCCACAAGGCCTTCACTAGCTGGTGTGATCCCGTTTTCAATCAAGATGTTACTGGAAGGAACTCCTGGTTCAGCTAAAGCCCATTTAAGGATGCCAGCTTTCTTGATAACTCTTAAAGAAGCACAATGAGTCATTTCAGAATGAATCAGAGATTCATACCCAAGCAGACAGTAGTCTACATCACTCAGTATTGCCAAGTCTAGCTTTCTTGCTGAGATGTCTTTAATGAGTTTGTCGTTCTTGAGCATTTCTGACAGAATATGTTTTTTGAAAATAATCAACTCATGAACCTTTACAAATTTGCAGACTGGCATCTTTGAAAATCCTGTTTTCTGCCACAATATCAGAAAATTCTGAGAATTTATGTAGTTTCCTGGAAATGAGCAGATTGTTGCAAATCGAGAGTATGGGGTATGACGAACCTATGTGTGAAAGGCTTGAAGTCCCTCGTACAGGCAACACCAGTGACGTTCAAAAAAATCTGGTGAACCTACAGATGAAAGAGGAAGTGATTAGCAGAGAAAAACAAAACAAATAAAAACTTTCTCAGAAGGTACATGTAGGCTGCTTTTGCATGTGGGATTTGGACGTATCAAAGTAACATGATGTTGACTGACAAATAGATTACTTAACTGAATAGCATTTTTGATCTAAAAAAGAAAACGAAAACAATTGGTAAAGACGAAAATAATGAAAAACCTGTTGAGAGTTAAACGGACTGCTGAACAATCCGATGTTCAAACTGAAAATGGATGGCAGAAGACAAAAATAAAGCAAAAGCTGAGAAATCATTTGTTAACTAGGTCACAAAAATGGATGAAAGGTAACAAATGCTTCTCTTATCTGTTAGACAATCAGCATATATGGATGTTTGATAAATTTTTTCAGAAATTTTCCTGATTAAAATGTATTTGAAGAATATACAATGTTGATGAAGAAAAGATATAGTCAGACAGGCAGGACGTATAGATGAATGGGGGATGCTAATGGATGTATCTCCAGCGCGATGATACAGCATTTCGATTTCCTGATTAAACGTGTTCGCGAACTTTCACAAATAGATCTAACATAAAAGTATAAAGCATATTCAATTTGATACTCAGATGTGAAGGAAAAAATGGCTTATTTGCAATTTAGTTATGATTATATGAGCTTTCTATTATAAATTTCAGCCTCAAATGGTTACCTGGGAAACATAGATTTCCACTCGGGCATGTCATTCTTCTATTTTTCAATTTTACTTTTCAAAGCCCAAATTCATATAGTTTTCATTATTCTAGAGAAGCAATCTTATAAGATAGATAAGACATTCTCATTATTTCCAGAATGTCTTATCATCATCATCATGCTCAACAACGTCCTCGACGTATCAACGAAGAAGATGTTCCAGAATCGAAACACACTATCTTCATCAGAGGATTACCTGGCAATATGTCGACAGATGATATTAAGTAATTTATTTTTAAAACTTTTTTTTTTCATTTTTTGTTTTTTTTTCCAAAAAAAAAATATTTTCAAGTACTCTTCTTCTACCTATAATTTCATTTTTGCAGCCTTATCATGTAAAGTTATAATAATGCTTGTATTAGTGTTCTTTCTTTCATATTTCTGAATGATGGTAGGATTCACATCAACTCAACTTCCTCTTCAATCTTTTCAACTCATCAACTTTCAACTTATTTTCATCATTTTCAGAATATTCTTCGAAGATAAAATAGGTCCTGTTTCTTTCGATTTTGTTCGATCAAGTCCAGATAATGCTCGTCTATTCGTTGCCGTACGATTTGAGTCCCGTGAGGATGCTAAGACAGCCATGAAAAGGTATTTTCGTTCTTTTTTTTTGTCCTCATCTACTAGTACCTTTTTATGTGTTTTCGTATTATTTTAGATACGCTGATGATGAAATACTTGGATACAAATGTGATATCACTTGGTTCCGTGATATACGGAGGTTCGCCCAGTATAAAGCAGTTCGTCAGTTTTCTTCTCTGAATGTTTTATATGCTTTGTCCATTATATAGAAGTGAAAAATCGTGGAAGGTCTTCTTCAACTTATGGACGTAAGAATCATAAGAACAACAAGTTAGATTAGTTAAAACTTGAAATAGAGCAATTGTGTCTTGCAGGTATCGAGATCGCAGTCGATCACGTAGTTCCTCATTCAACAGCTCTAGATCCAGTGGCTCTAGGTTGTCTATATGAAATGTATTTCTCACAGAATTTTTAGAAGTCGTGCGAGCATTAGAAGCCGTTCTTCCTCCAGAGAATCGTATAACTATCGAAAACGATATTCAGAAGAGAGTGGAGATGAGGAACGAGCTAAAAATCGTAAGAAAGGAAAAGAGAAGTATGTTTGACATCAAAAAATGTTGGTGAACTGATTATTTGAAGATCACAGTTTTCAAGAAGTAGAAGCAGTTCTAATGAACATTCCAAACAGAGCTCTAGGAATCCAGATACGCCTCCTAAGCCAGCAAGTATGGGTAAGTTATGCCTCACAAACAACTTCCTCATTGTTTATAGTCAAAGATGATATGAGAGTTTTTGACAAATTGTCGGATAAAGAATCGTCTGAGCCTCCGTGTGTCAGAAGCCCTCCTTCTTCGAATCAGTTAAAACTACATTTGAAAGTAGGCAGAATCGCGTAGACAATTTTCAAATTTGTCTTCTTTCATAGGAATTGACAGCGAAAATAGCAGAACAAGCAGCTGAATTGGCAGAGAAAGCCGAATTACAGTCGAGTGTGTCAAAGCCAAAATCTCCCAGTGAGACGCCGCCTCCTGAAGAGCAGCCAGATTTTGATCAACCTCTAAGGAAAGTGTTAGTTTATTGAGTTAGCTTTCTCATATTGAAAATAACCTTGCAGATTTGCTCATAGTGGTTCCTTTGATGAGCCAAGAAGGACAAAGGTTGAACCTGAAACGATAAAAGCGTCGATTCCAGTTATTGAACCTCGCATTCTGGCTACTAGCTTAGTACCTAAGCAAGTGAGAAATTCGAAACAAATCTCAAATATTTCATTACCACCTGCTGAACATAAGCCGTCCAGTAAGAACATGTGGACACCTATCGAGGTTCCTTTCATCAATTGCGAAACGTTCAGTTGAATGAATGATTCCAGAATCAAAAATTTGAAGTCGAGCCAAAACCGCTGAAGTACTTCCAATCTCTCAAGGAGATACAAACAAGTGCTTTGGTAACAGTGAAAGTCTTAACGCCTGAAGGTTTTATGAAAACTACTTGTGCCCCAAGCAATGTTTGTGTTTTTCAGAAGAAAGTGGGAACCTACGATTGTCAAATTTATGTGTTCCGATCTCAGAAAAAAATATACTGCGAAGCTTACGAGACATGTAATCGTTCACGTTATTCATCTTCACAAATCTGTTTTCGTTTCAGCGAAGACAAAATAGACGGCCTTGAAGAGTTCGATCGCGAGAAATTCCTTGTTCATAAGCGGAAGCTAGAGTTATCGTTCCGCAACGATTGTGATACCTTCGCTTTTGTGGCAAAAAAGTTGCTGGAGAAAGATGAAAGCTTGGAAAAAGCTCTACGAATGGCATTGATAGAGAACATGGAAGATTTGGAGAAGCAGCTATTGGAGAAGCTTGACGCCTACTTATTCTAGTATCGACGTATACTTATATGATAATTGACTAGTATTGCCTTTCTTTAAATTCTTTATATCTTTAAAAATTGAAATAAAAAACAATATAAGGGCACTTTGGAAGTTAAGATATTCCTAATTCATTTATATATTTTCGGAAACATCTGAAAGAAAATGTAGAGAACATTTGAAGAAGTTGATAAGACACAAAGACAAAATAAATTTAAAACAAGTTGGGACGGATTGAAAATAGAAAAATAAAAATTAAACTAGGACATTGAGCGGGGGAATGTTAACATCACAGAAAATAACAGCAGAAGTTTGGCGATCCCAGATTTGTATGTTTCAAGATAATCAGTTAATAAACCCATGATACAGGTAACCATTGTGGACAGGCAGGTAACTTTTCTACTATTCTCTCTAACTGTGTTATTGTATCATCTGTAAGCATATGTGTGAGTTGAGAGAGATTATGAATAAACTTCTTCACCTATATCGTTATTGACAATTATGTAGTCGAAAAGATGGCCGAATGCCTGTCTGAGAATTTCAGATTCGCGTAATAACCGCTCTAATGAGCCATCCGGCTGAAACAAACATCATATATAGTAGCGTAGATGCATGTATTAAATATAAATCATAGAACAATGCTTACATCTTGTAGACCTTGGAGGTTTGGAGCAGCAATGAAGACAACGAAAGGGGAGTACTCTGCTGTTCTGAGCACCTTCAAAGCCTGGGGTTCAACATCCAAAATTGCTATTTTGCCGCTTTTATGTATGTTTCTGATTGTTTCGAGCTTGGTTCCATACATACCTATAATCAAGGCGATTTTGAAAGAACGTTAATAACAAGATATGCTTACTCTCTTCATGTGTTCCATATTCAAGGTATTCATTATTCTGAATATCAGACATCATTTGGTCATTAGATACAAAGAAGTAGTGTTTTCCATCAACTTCATCTTTCCTAGGCGGCCTAGTAGTATCTGAAAGCATGTCTCATGTATACAAAACAATATTAAATTAATAATTACGTGGGATAGGATATGCGAAACGATTCGGATGTCGGTGAATCAGCGTGTTCTTGATATGCCTCCGACCCACACCATGTGCTCCCAGTAGAACTAACGTCTTACGACGATATTGGGATAATCGCATAACCTTAAATTTATTTTTTTATTCACATGGAAAGTTTTCAGAAGTAAAACATAATGATGTATAGATAATAAGGGTACTTACTTCTTCGTATGTGACGAGATCTAATTGATCAAACAAGGCTGAATGTTTTTGCAAATACTTCGTTGTGTAATATTTTTTTTTGCGATTGAACCACATGCAATGCGCTGAAGCCATATATTGAACAAATTGAGTTTTTTCTCAAACATACAATGATCTTTTGCTCTCTCCATGGCTAAACAGGCTGTCCGCCATTCTTGTAATTCTGGCGATGGTATTAAACCAGCAATTGCTCCTTGAGCTCCCGAAGTAGATTGAAGACTTCCACCTAAGGATGGGAAACAAGAAACGAATCTGGCTTGCCACCAGTTATGATCATCTTTCGATATAACCTGTAACATAGTTTTGTTAAGCACCCTAACAGATGAACTGCAAGCTTACCTGTAATATATCTCCTGTCTTAAATGGAACACCAGCCTGAGGACAGGGAATTAGATCATCTTGAGCTGGATCATAATCAAATTGTGCTCTAACAAATATTTCGCAAGCTGGAGGTGCTGATCGATATGAAGGAACAATTTTGAATGTGACCTTGATAATATTAATGAATAGAGGGATGTTATATATATCGAAACATACTTGTCCACGAGCATCTCGAAGCATTTGTTGAAGTGTCTCGACTGATCTCTGTCCGACCGAAATGCCATTAATTTCCCGAATTTCATCTCCTACATGTAGAGTTGCTGAAATGATATTATAAAATGAATAAAAATGAAATCTCGTATGTTTTTTTATCAGTTATGTATATATAGAGAGATATATTGGAAAAATATCTCGAATAAGGAAATTAGTTTGTTATATCCCTTGTCTGAGTCAAAAGTGGATGTGTGCATCTTTCGAAAACCATCGAGAATAGAGAATTAGATTAGAATAGAAGAAAAAAGAAGCAGAAAGCGAAGAACAAGTAGTAGTTGAAGAAGAAAAAGAAGGAAAGAGTAAGAAAAACGAAAATGACACACATGCAGGAAAGCTCTCAGATTGTGTACGGAGCATGATTTGCACAAATTTAGAATCAAAGTAATCAAGGGAATCATAAGATACGACTCAATAAGATAAATCACTCATAATTCATATGATCTATACAACTGTAACTAACCCTGTCTGTGAATCATTCCTCCATGCATTATTCGAGCAACAAAGCATCTTCCATCTTCTGTTACCTAAAATAGAATGAAGTAGAGATTTCAAATGACACTTCTACTTTAAGTAGAATGCAATAGAATGACACAAACCCAATATAGTTAAGTAATGAAAATAAAGAAAAAACTGACAAACCTTGAGTGTAATGCCCATCGGCTCTTCTGTGTCTTTTTGAAATTGAACTAAGCGAACTCTTGAAACGGTATCCATTAAGTCGTCATCGTCTTCTCCTGAAAAAAATGAATCAACAAACTCTAATTAAAACTAATTAAATAACTTTCAGACACAAATTGGAAGAAAAGTAGAAAGAAAAAACGAAAAAAAAACAAAGAAAGCTTACCAAGACACGGAACGAATTCTTCTGTTGAAGTACCAGCTTTACTTGCTCCTAGCGGTAATACCCCTCCATTGAGATATGAATAAGGAACAGGTGGAGGCGTCTGGAATACAGAATATCATTGTAAGAGAACAAAAATTGGGAAAGAGCCGTTGATGCAACCGCTTCATGTTCGAGCAAAATTCAAAATGAAATAACACGTAATGAGTTGCGTCATTGCCCTTATTCTAATTAGCATAAACAAAAATGAAAAAAGTTCAACGTCCGTCTTGTTGGATATTATGTTACTTACCGTATTAATGTTATTAGGAGTTGTTGAAGTATTGGGCTGGGCTGTTCGATCTTCATCACAAACTTCGGAAACAATAACATCATGCGCTTGAAGACATGACTGAAATATTTCAAATTCAACTACTACGTCTCGAACATGAAGATAACTGACAGTTAAATCATTGGCTAATAGAAGCTGTCGAAGCTCAATAGATTCAGCAGATGGGCCAAGTAATGAATCAATTGTCGCAATAACCTATAAGAGAGAAAAAAAAATGATTTAACAATGAACATGAGCTTACATCTCGTTTTAACGAAGAAGCTTCAATATCAGACGTTACTGGTCCGCATTTGAGCTGAGATATCTTATCATACAACTGAAATATGAGAAAGATAACATTATAAAAATCATTTTCATTTCCATTTTTCTATGTTTTTCAGTTTTAAATTTCTTCTTGCTTTAAACTCAAAACTAACCGAAAGAGAACAACTGTTCGAAAGGTTTTTTGTTTGAAGTTGAATTTCGTCTAATCAGGAAGATAAAAGATGAACCGGACCAACTATTTGACCGATTTGAAAGTTCGTGATTGAACGTAAAACAAAAAGAAAAAGTTCAGAAAGAAGAATCACACCTGAGCCAGGTGTTCAGTTTCATCTTTGATGATTCGTGGGTTGAATTAGAAAAATCTTTTTTTTCTTTTCTTTTTATCTTTTTATCTTTCAACTCAAATTTCAATAATAATAATGTTCGAAAGTGAGTGTAGTTGTAGTAGTAGTAGTAGTAGCAGGAAAGAGGCGGAGAGAGAGAGAGAGAGAGAGAAAGACAAGGGGAGTTGAGAAGAAGAGCTTGATGATGAAGAACACAGTCGGTTTGACTTTTAAACTTTTTGTTATTTTTTACATAAAAGGCTTATAGGACTGCATAAAAAATAATGAAGTATTAATGCAGGCAGAACGACAAATCCTTTAAATTTTTGAAGAGGGGATTAGGTCCTTTTAGGGTGTTTCTAACTATTTCCAGTCAGGTTTTACAAACCGAAAGACGAAAAATAAGGAAAAAGAACGCTCTCTCTCTCTCTCCCTCTTTCTCTCTCTCTTTCTCATCCTCTTTCCCTCTCTCTCTCACTAATTTGAAGGAAGAACAAAACATTTGACTTTTAAGTTCTCTCCTTCTTCTCGACAACTCTTTTCACCATTTTCTCTTCATATCTTTTTTTCTCTCTCTCTGTCCGTCCCTCTCTCTCTCTATATATATCTATCTACTTCTCTTTCTATCTAACTAACTATACACATAAAGCTATTGATTGCTTTTTGTTTTCTTACCACTATCAAATTGTAAATCAAATCCATAATTCTCCTCATCGTCATCATAATCAGAGAATGTTTCGATTGTCGATAAAGCAAATGATTGATGATTTTCAATATGTGTTGATGGGCAAGATCCATTTGTTTTATTCTGATTTCCATCAGATGATGTTGTCAAACAATTTCCGTTACCATTCAAGGAATGAACGACTGGCGTTGGGACGGCTTTTAATACGTTCTTGGGCGTATTTGGTGTCTTTTCGTCCGAATCAGTTGTTAGGAATGTTTTTGATGGCCGTAATGAGGGTGGTGGTAATGGTTTTTGACTATCACAAATACACTCAGCTGTTGCTGATGATGAGCTTTTATCTTTTGCTCCAGATTCAAGTAAATTTGAATTATTTGAAGCGTCTCGACAGCAAAGACCACGATCAGAAGCTGCTCCTATACAAAGAACGCAGACGATAAAAACAAGAAAAGATCCAATCAAAACGGCTAATAAACTGTTATGAAAAACAGTTGAATCCATCTACTAAAAATTAAACGTCGCCTAGTTGAATATATTTGGTTGAGAAACAACTATATAAAGCGAATGAGGACTGAAGGGAAAGATAAAAGCAAAACAACAAAACAAGAAGTCAAAAAATTATAGAAAGTAGCAGCTGACTATGCAATTTATTCAGTAATGAATGACGAAAACGAATATAGACACACGAAGCACAGAAGGGAAGATATGGAGGGGATGATGAAGGGGGAACAGCAGATTAAAATGAATTTTTTTCTTCTTTTTTGCTTTTCTTTTGTGGTGTGCCTGTCTTTGGGGCGGATACAGCAGAATTTCGAGTTCACACGTACTACTTAGAACAAAGACCAGTTGATATCGGGTCCACAAATGAATTGCAAAAAGAAAGTGATGAAGACGACGAGAGGGAAGAATACCTGACTCCGCCCTCAAAATGTCTTATTTTTTCTTTTTTCTCTTCTCTCTCACGAATACACATCACTCACAATGTATCTTCTGTTATTCATTATTAGAAAGAAAAAAGAAGAAGAAGAAGGAGAAGGAGAAGGGAAGGAGGTGAAACGTAAATCTCCAAAATAAGCGAGGAAGTAAAACGAAATGCAAAAGTTCAAAACTGTCTGCTTCGAGAAGCTAAATCAGTGTCTGATGGCTGAATGATGATGGTGACCAAGAGCAGAACGAAAGTTCTTAAAAGTTATATTTTATTTCGAAAATTCTGCTTAGTCTTGTCTTTCGGAGAAAGATGAAGAACTCCGCCCCATTCTTCAGCTTCTATCATGATCATTCATTCTGCTGTTCAAGTTTCATTAGTACTTTAGACGAAAAATCTTTTGTTTTAATAATGTCATCTTCCGAATTAACTTCCTCGATGATTCTTGTCTCCTTTTCAGCTATTCTTAGCTGCTGGAGGAACATAACAAATGATGTATTTGCTATAGGATGCTTATTATACTCGAGGTGAGAAGTTACGTATCATCTTACAACCTTATCACATCTTTACCCAACTTTCTTTTTCGTTTACTAAGCAAGACACACTTCTTCACTCAACTCTCTGACGTTGTCATTCAAAACTGCCCTCGAAAGCTTTTTTAACTTAATTTGTTGTATAAATTTATATTTAATTTATTAAATTTGAATAAAAAAAACATTGAGCAATGAAGCTTAGCTATGAATGGGAGATCTAGTTTGACGAATACCCTCTCTACGTAGTAGGAATGATAAGCGAGTGCTTGACTTCACAAATGAATTGAGAAGAAACGAACCTGTTGAGGAACAGTTACTTGAGCAACTTGAGCATCTGCTGCTGATATGCAGGGCGACGACATCAGGAGTTTGAATAATTAGCCAAAAATGGACAGAACGTTGTCCGTTCAATAGTTAGATCAGTAATCGACTCCAGAATTCAGTGATATACGTGACTAACTGATGATAGAAGATGATTGAATATAATTGGAAATATGAAGACGAAGACGAAGTACAAGAAAAAATAATAAATTGAGGAAAGATAATTGACTAAAAGCTGTGTCGATAGGCTCTACTTCAGCAGATGACTGACTGACGCGGATTCACGCTCGACGTCGTTGTCGTCGTGATGTGATGTTGCAGTAGAGCTCAAGGGCGGTTTAGCATGTGCGGAAGAGATGCCGGATGGTTAGAGATTTTGAGAGAAACACAGACTGCGTGAGAGAGTTTTTGATGTTGCTAGAAGGGAGCTGTGCTGCTTGAGAAGCCCCTAAGGTCTTCGCTAGTTCGTCGTCGTCCCGTCTACGAAGGCCTAGACCAACCCTCCCCCCCTCCTTTTCCTTTGCATTCGGATAGAAGCCGATCGATTCCGGCCTTGGCCACATGTCCAGTTGTCACGCCCACTTTTCCCACCACATCGGCCAGCAGTCAGCACAATAGTAGTAACAGAAGGAGTACAGATGATGATGACGATGATGAGAGAGAGAGAAAATGAGAGAATCGGGAGTTGTGTCAGGAAGTCAGAAGAAAGAAAGTGAATGCCGAAGAAGAGAGTAAGAAAATAAAGAGGGAAGAATCTCGATCTCAGTGCTTTCTTTATGTTTTACTTCAAGTCATCTCATCGGTATGTCTCTGCCATCCTGAACTACATAGCCGAAGTAGTAGAGATTGAGAGAGAGAGAGACAGAGATAGAAGCGTTAAGTGATACGAAAATTTAAAGAAACTTGGATATAATTAAACACTTAGAGCGATCGATCACTATACTTCTGGTTTAACATCAAAATTCCTGTGGCTACAAGTTGCTCAATACCTCAGCTGTTGCTTATCTTTCTTTCAAGCAAACCGATGTCTCAAACAATCAAAAAGCTAAAGATGTTTATCTTACATCAATCTTGAATCCTTATACTTCTTACTCGTCCATTAAAGTAATCAAAGAATGAAAATTAAACGAATCATAGCGTTCGACTAGTCATAGCGAGCAAAAGATGATGTGAAAGATTAAAAAAGAGCTTTGTGTTCATGGAATTCATGGCAGACACACAAAAAAAAGTTTTTGCGATTCTAATTTCTGAAATTGAAAAGAAGCTCAGGGTATATGTGACAACTCATCTCATATGATTGATGGACATTTCAGCTTGTTCTCACAAATTTACTGATGTCTTTATCTCAAACAACAAAAATAAAAGATTCTTTGTACTTCTCACAAACGAAAGATGTATTTGCATTCGAAAGTTCAAAATTTTTTTCTTTTGGCTTACGTAAGAAGAGACTTGAAGCTACTCGTTTTTATGAACGACGGATCATATTCTGTATGTATTTTCATCTTCAAAATGAGATAATAGCTACCTCTCAGTTGGATGTTTCTTCTTCTTCTCCGTCTTCTCTTCGTTCTTCTCCTCGAATTCAAATCTTCATGAGGTTCTTTTTCTATTTCTGACGAACCCTTTAACCCTAATAAGATTTTTGCAAAGACACGACGGATGTACAGCTTCATGTCTTTCTTAAATCTCTTTTCTTCTCTCTCAAGTTGTGTCTTGTTGTATCTTTTTCAGCAATTGTCTATCTCGTTCTCTTCCTCCCTCCCTGTCTTTCTCTCCCTCTTTCTATTTGTATACATGTTCAGAATACGGAACATCTGATAAAATGATTAGGGACAGGATGCAAAAAAACAACGAAAACTAGCAAACAAGGAAGAGGTTTTTATTGTTCCATATATTGACATTTGTTTTTTCGTACTTTCGCCTTTCACAAAATAAAATATATTTCTGTGGGCAACTCCCTAGAGACAGCTAGTTTCCGGTAATTTCATATGTTCAGCGAGAAGCATTTGCTTACTATCATAAGCGAGTAGAAATTACATGCAAAAGCTTAGTTCGAGGCTAGCTTCCAAATTTCATTATAGAATCTCTTGAGAATTCCTAATTAAGCACATACTGCCTGTCAGCCAATAAGTTTTGAGGGTTGGAGGTGCAAAAAGTAATTGAAGTATGGAATGCTATATGTACATATGGCTATATGTATATGAATAGAAACAACAAATACTTCTTCCATGAAAAGACTTTTTATAAATTTAATTTGTTCTTTCCTCGAATTCAAAGATATTCACAGAATTTCTCTTGCACATCTCATCCTCTTCTTTTCTTTTTTTTTATTTTTTTTTCTTCTCTGGATGTGCTTGTGGCTTCTCGCTTCTCTTCAAAAAGCTATTTGTCTAAATATGAATAACGAGGAAATCCCATTTGACCGAAAGAAAGCGGCCATTTGAATGAAAGAAAGAAAAAAATCAAAAAAAAATTGTCGTAAAAAAAGTTGACAATGCTTCTGAGAACGATCATAACAGCTCTTAAGCTAAGAATTCTCTCCCCTTTCAGCAAAGGGCATTCCCTTTATGGTCTATTACTCAAAGCCCATAAAGGGCTAGAAATTATGCTTTTAAGGTCAATATTTAAATATGTTTTGTTTTAATTTTATAATAAATTAGAAAGTAATTGTAAAGACTCACGTTAAGTAGAGAGACAAAGCTTCTATCGTTAATGGCTTGTTTTGGCTCCGCGAAAGAGGTATTCCGCTCTGATAGTGAAGCGATCGCATCCAGGGAGCATAGAATCTAAAACAAAACTGTCATGTTGGGATAGTTACGGAATCTTATTTTCTAGTTGATCAGTCAAATGATGCTTATTTGGGAGAGAGAGAGGGAGTGAAAATCGAAATCAGAATTTCAATATACTAACCGGAGGTGGTGGCGGCGGATAAAACTCTTTGGGTGCTGATCCACACCACATAGTAACAACGAATAAGCAATAAATTAAAATAAAAAAATATGAATAGTGTTTACGAATTGGGGAAGAAGCTTTCATTAGCAAAGATTGTCATCACTCTTCAACATCCACATTCGAGTACAGCGAAACGAAGAAACATTTTGCTTGTACTGTTTGCTCAACAATCATCAAGGCGACAAAAATCCTTTACATTACTAATTCTTCATCTCTATTTTCATTATCTTCTAATGTACTATGTAGATGTGAAATTTGTGCCAAAAATATTACATTCTATCCCTTTATTTTTCATTTCATTCATCAATTCTTCGCCTTTTGTTCGATCGAATATACATTTTGATCAAGACGTGAGGGAGTAAGGGTTTTAAAAAAAAAAGATTTTCTTCAACATACTCTTACCTTATGAGCTCCTATTAAGTCATTTGCCATAGGTTTTGCAACAGCTCTTGTGCATCCATCTGGATGACATGAATCTCCTCCTGAAGTCATTATAGCGAACTGTTCGTATTGCCTATCATCAACTAAATACCTGGAGCATCTCCATTCAAATAGGTTGAAGGGGAATTTTGAAGTGTTTTCCATTTATCTGTGTTAACAGCTGCCAAGATGGATGACTGAATTACGTATATGATTTAGGAGACTTAACAGCACAAAGAAAGTAAATGAAAGTTATGGATTTTGTGAAAACCGTATCACATCTGGTAAATGATGATTTTCATTTCTAAGTCATCACTTCTACTGCTCACTTGCATTCGTATGATCACATCTCTTCTCTTTTACTTACTTTTAATTTTCTGCTATCATTATACTTTCTGATATTTTCAACTGTGTCCTGCATATGACGACGTGGAGCGCAATGTTCTCGATCTCTTATCCATTCATGTTCCAGAGCCTTTTAAACAAATAGATTTTTCATTTCATTATTTCTCTACCTCGTTTGCTGATATTCGGACATTTGGATCATTAGTGAGCATTTTTCGTAATAAATCCTTCACCGAGCCCGATATGAGAGCCCATGAACCTGCTTGACACTGAAGCAAGCAATGATAAACGGTTTCTTGGGAAGACTGATTACTTGATAGCTGCCTTCTCGAATCTTCTCATAGATTTCTTCTGTTGAACCAGTGAAAGGCAATTTTCCTGATAAAAGAATATACAACACTACTCCTGCACTCCACATATCTATCTGAACATATGACATTTTCTTCAAACCCATTTGAATATTTCGTTTTGATACCTTCGTTCCATAATCTAAGCCTTCTACTACCTCGGGTGCCATAAACTGAGGAACTCCAACCTTTCCTAGAAGCGAAAAGGTTTTGTTTGTTTTTTGCAACCATCTTGCAAACCTCCTTTACAATTGAGTTTCTGTTCATTTAATTTGATTGAAACACCAAATCCACACAGTTTCAGAGGCGCAGAGTTGTCGGGGCTAAACAAGACATGAAGTGGTGCGGATGAGAAAGAAAAAACAAAACCTGGCAAGGTTTATATTATGAGGTCGAATATCTCTATGAACTATATTATTATTATGTAGATAATCTAGAGATTGAAGCAATTGTCTCATGTAATGACTAAACACATTTCATTACAACATACTATCTTAGGTAATATACCTAATGACAGCCTCAGAGTAAACGAAACCTGAGCCGGCTCTTTTAACAATTTCAAAACAAATATCAGCACCATCCAAATATTCAAAAACTAAATGAACTGATCTGCAATGAGAGATTTGCAATAAAAAGAAAAAAAATAAAATCCAACTGATCGCCTGTAATGACATCTTTCAGCTCACAGATAAATGTATGTTTCAACGATGCACATAACTCGATCTCAGCATCCACTTCTAATAAGTTCAAATCTCGAAAATTTAAAAAAAAAAAAAAAAAACCTTGCCGACCCAGTCCAGTATTTGTTTCATATCTTTGTATATCAATAGTTTTAATAGAATAAGGAATCTGTGTGGTTCTATGAATAGCCCTATGGATTACAGATAGTGGACCTCTTAAGATGGTATAATGAGCATATTGGAAATGAAATAAACTAGATCACGTACCTCTCAATTAATTCTCCTATTTCATAATGATGGGCCAGTAGAGCCGACTCATCGGGAGTCGTTGAGTCCATCGGAAAGACATAGACTGGTAAGAACTTCTAGAAATCAGTCAAAACAATGTCTGCAAGAGGCGAATTGATCAGAGATGAGATTGAAATCGAATTGTAAAAGGTAAAAGAGCAAAGTTGAAAAGCAGAATAAATGCAATATCTAAGAGTTAAAACAACATTTTGTAGACACAAAACACATGTTCTTTACGCTTTTTCCCATTTGTTCGTCGTCGGGAAAAAACGGCTGAATGGGAAAAAAGGAAGAAGTCGCTTTAACTTATCAATTCGTAAAGACGAAATGCTTTTGAAACAAAATAAGTCAAAATGAGTAAAGCTTCTCAGGAATGTGAATATGAAGGTATTTGAAGCTGAAAACAAAAAAACTGAAAGTCAAGTGGACAATTGCTGTTCCAATTCACCATAGATGACGAATAATCCATATTTTTGCTTCTTTCATAAACTTCTGTTGAAGCAATGGTGTTAGCGCAAAAGTGTTTTTAATTAAAAAATAAAAAATTCTTTGAGAACGATGCGACGGAGAAGAAGAACAAGAACAAGAAGAAGCAGGAGAAGAACACAGACGACGTTGGAGAAGACGATGAAGAGAAAAAAAAATTTTTTTTCTTCTGCTTGTTGAAACGAATGTTTCAGTGAATTTTTGAAATATTTTGTGTTTTTCGCTCTCAAAAACAGTTGGTTTGTTTGTTGTTTGTTAAAGGAAAACTTTCAAATCAGATCCGTTTTCTTACAATTAATGTTATAAAAGAGGATATCAATATAGAATTAAATGGATGACGACAGCTTCTGTGAGCTGTTTTCATTCTTGTAACTCTCCGATTGTCAAATAGGGAAAGGAGAGGGGGGGAGATGGATGGAGAATATTAGAAAGTTGGGCTTTTCCTTCTTCTTACTGACAATTCGCTTTTTCTTTATCTAACAACTCTTTTCTTCTAATTCTCTCTTATTCCCTCTTCATTTGCTTCGCTAAAATAGTTGTCTTCGGGCTCAGAGAAAAAAAGTTTTGAAGCCATCCGACAGCTTAAATAATTGTGCCGAGAGAGCTCTTCGAAGGTTCGCCGATTCAGAATATGACTGACGACTACATGGCATGATGAGAAAGATGAAGAAGAAACGAGATAGAGCTCAAAAAAAGTGAATTGGAAATTAAGTAACACGAAAGCAAATATACGTATACATATGTTCTCAATTGACATACAGAAGAAGGAGGGGCAGAGCATTGAACTAAAGAAACTTCTCATTATGGGCATGAGACATTGAAAGCAGTTTGCAGACTGGAAAGACAACGGAGAAGCTTGCGTACAACGTCATTCGGCATGAGCTTTCACGCAGTTTTCATTTTTTCAAATTCAAATGCGCAGCATGGTTGGTTTGTTCTTTCTTAGCATAGTCTCATAAAGAATCATTCACGTCTTACATACACTGGAAAATCTCTTAACTACGAGCAAAAACTTATTTTTGAAAATAACAAGAGATTTAATGAGCAACGACATTTGTTCCAAAGAATTAGCTTCATTGCGACGATTGCTTTAATGAAATTTATGAAAATAATAATTTAAAAAGAAAAAAAAAAAAAGAAGAAAAAAGCAGAACGTTTGTCCAATTATGTCGAGCTTGAATGAGAAGCATGCTAGGATGAACAACATGGACACCTGGCCCTCTCAGCTGATAAGATACAAATATTTATTAATTATCGTTGTAATGAAGAAAAACAAAGAAGGAGACAAAATGATAAAAAACCGTGAAAGGTCGATGGAATGAGAGAGAGAGAGGCAGAGATAGAAGAAGATGAATGAGATGTAGAAGGAGGAGGAGAAAAATGAAGACATAGATGAATGGAAAGGTTACAGCAGTTCTTCACAACTTCTCCTTCTTCTACTAATTATGCAAAACAAGCTGGAAGCTAAAGTTTGTTTAAAGTTTCATAAACACTCAAATTTCTTGTTATTTTTTCTGTTTTAAGGAGTAAGTAGCATATGAGAAATGAAAAATAAGAAATGCTGTTGGAGATTTGTGAAGACTCGAAGATTACAAGAATTAAGATCTGTTTTCAATGATAAAAGATATCAAATTTGAAGTGGAAACGAAACAGTCAATATTTATTTTTATATGAAGCGAAATATAAAAATAAGAAGGATGCGGAAACGAGATAACACTAGAAGAGCTGAGGAGAAGGATGTATGAGATGTAGTAAGAGAAGGGAAGAGAGAGAGAAACTACCTCACAAGACGAACTTGAAGGGAAGAAATAGCGATTTCTCCTCTAAAGAAATCTGATACGATTCAACGGTGGTGTCGTGTCGAAAAGTGGACTCTGCCATCCGTTCTTAATACCTTTGGAAAGAGAGCTGAACATCTTGTTTAAGAGCAATATTATATAAAAAAATAAGAAAGAAATTTGCTTTTTCACCCCATGGGAGAATGGGAAAGAAGGATAAGATAGTTCACTCAATCACAGATTTAAATGATAAAACAACAACAGAGCTTTCTAACATACGTTCAGATTGTAAAATTAGAGAAGAAATGAATGAAAAGATTTGTTCCGGAAATATTTCTAGAACACAAATTATTGGAGAAGAAGAAGAAGAAGTTATCTTCAGTAATTCAAATACGAAGCTTAGAAGAAGCAGAAGCTCCGTGCGAATGTTTTTGAAAATCCAAGAATGGTAGTCTTATTGAAATATCCATTGATAGATAAATTGCTTTTAGCTGCTCTTTTTTTTGTGCTCCTGTCATTTATAGGGGGGCAAAGATAGAGAGAGGGAGGGAGATGAATGAAAAAAAAAACTAAAAGAGAGGGAGATAAATAGAGAGAGAGAGAGTAATGGAGACATAGGAAGAGGAGATGAAGTGAAAGAGAGAGGAAGAGGGATGTAGGTTCCGGAAGATAAAGTTCAAAAGATTTCGAATATCATCACAATTCAACAAGAGCTGTTTCCATCATAATGCATGTGTTTGTATGTGAACCTGGCCATATTTGTTCAAGGGAATTACGTGCTGGGGCTGTCATCAATACTAGCTTTCTAGCATGGAAAAAGAACTAAAAAGACACATTGTTTGAGAAAGACAGGAAGAGATATAGTATATAGAATTAAGAGAGAGGCCAATAAGAGGAAGACAGTGAGAGTGAATGAGAAGGAAAATGAGAGCAAAGGAGAGATTTAACCTTTAACATATTTTAATATTCAAATTGTAGAAGATAGAAGACATTAGATAACATATTCTATGTTTATTTTGCTTGTCTTATAAATTTCTTATTGATTCTTCTACAATATTCAAGTAAAATAGATAGTAACAAGCTTCTTGCTATTCATAAAACTATCAAACGAGCTCACAAAACTTGCCTTTCCTTCTCTCCTTCTCTCTCTCCCTCTATCTCTGTATAGATGTAGTATGGGTGTTGGTTCATGTTAAATTACTCGTGACGAAGGATTCATCTGTATATGCAAATTATAAATTCTTATTAGAGTTTTACTTTTTTATATTATTCAAAAAATATATATAATTGTTTTGGCTGTTCTCTAAAGAGGGAAACACACCAACAGACAGACACACAAACACACACATACACCCAAAGAGAAAGTGAGAGAGAGAAAGAGAAGGAAAGATGAAGATGAAGAAGAAAAAAAGATGAAATATGAGATTATTCTAAGTTCTATCAGCCATTGGTAGTTTTGATTTGATGGGCTTCGGTTAAAAATTGAAAGAAACTTGGAAGCTGCCTTGTTCACTTTCAATCTCGTCTTCTACTCTCTCCACATACTTCACAATCATCTTTTATATTCTTACTTGTCTCACTCTGTGAAACTTCTTCTTCTTTTTTCTACTTCTGCCAATCAGTATAGAAATTTATACATAAGAAGACGAATAGAAGGAGAGCAATAGAGCCGACAGAATTGAATAACGACTGAAGAGAGGAAGAAGAGGATGAACTGAATGAATGCGCAGATAAAAGAAAACAACACAACAGCAAAAAATATGAGTTACTTCAGCTTTTACAATAAGCTTCGTATTTCAGAAATATTTCTCTTTCAAATTATAGTTTTTACTGCTTTTTGATGAGTTTGTAACACGTTTGCTTCATCGTTTTTTCTTAATGATTAATACATGAAAATGAAAATAAAATATGAACTTATGTACAAATTATTTTTTTTCTCTCCATCCTACAACGACACATTTGCATTGAATGAAGGAGGAGAAGAAAAAAGCTGACATAAAAATAAACGCGATGGACGTTGAAGCAGTGGCGACGATGAAGAAAAGCCGTCAGAAGACATAATCAGTCAAAAACATGCTGAATGTGGTAATCCCAAGACAAAGAAAATAAATTTTTTGTTCAATTTTCAAAAGGAAGCTCCAAAATATAAAATATGAAGAAGAATAGATAACTTTGTGTGCTTAAAATCCGTAGGTTAGCTGGTATGGTTGCAACACACGTCGAATTGAATTAAAGTGTGAAAAGGAAGAGATGATGGATATACGGAGAGAAGATGAGTATGTTACCGTTAGCGTGATTAAGCTCGATAAATTAAAGGTCTAGTTAAATATTATTAAAAATGAATACATACATGTACATTCATTGGTATGTATGGATGTAGATATGTATGTCCATGTATGGAATGTTATAAACAACTTAGATGATGAGAAAAACAAATTCAATTTCTTAAGGCTTTTTTTAACTTTCTCATTTAAATCCGAACATACCCTTAGGACAAAATAGGTTTTATAAGAAAGATTTAGCTGAATCTATAGAGAATCTTAATTGAAAAATTGAATGACTTACCAATCATTCATGAAAAATTTTTGAAAAACAACCGATTTTCTGTGCGTCAACATTAAGAATGATGATATTTCACGTAAAATTACGTGAAAACACACGTGTGTGTTTGATGACGTCTATGTATTAGGATGAGGTTAACAACACATTCATATACCTTCATAATAATAATAATAATAATAATTAAAAAAGAAAACTTTCTATCTCTTCCTATCTTTCTCTCTCTCTCTCTCCCTTTCTCCCCTACTAATCAATACTTCAAGACTAAAATTAGAATATTTAGAAAGTTGTTCCCATCATGATAGATTCCACTACTTTAAATATGCAAATGAGGAGGAAAAGTATGTAAACATGATAAAATTACTTCTTATTTACGTTTAAAGATTGAGATTGTTTTCAAACGAAATTAGTGAACAAGATAAATAAAGACGAATTCTGTTTCCAGAATGTAAGAGAAAAGAGAAAATATGAAGAAGTTCTGCCAATAAATGGAAGCTAAGAGAAGCGAAAAGAGACTGGCTACCAGAATCAATGACGAGAAACACAACATTCGACTGCCACATATGGAGCTAAAATGAATGAGTGGTGCGAGACTGATGATGATCATAACGAGAATTACCTGTATGCACTAGTTGAAAACGAAAAAAAGAGTCTTTCAGCTCATAGAAATGGTGAAGAAACAAAGAGAGAAGGAGAAGTAGCAAAAAAAAACTGAAGCTTAGAGAAGCCGTTAAATAATAAAAAAAAACTGAAAATAGAGCTGACAATTTTATTATTCGACCAAAAACTTTTTGAAAAAGCGAGACGCTAATAACCTATAACCCTTGTGTTGAAGATCGCCGTATTGGTTCGGGTTACGCGCAAGGTGCCAAGTCTCAATGTTATAAAAAAGTGTTTCAACCAGATCATCATACTGCTTAAGAGAGAAAGAGAGAAGAAGAAGTAGAAGAAGTGATTGAAAGCCTGGAATGGGTAAAGAGAATCTCATTTGCGTAGTCATCAACTACGAAGTCTTAAAATTCAAAAATTTTCAGAGTAAAAAGCGGAAAAATTTAACTAAGAGGAGATGGAATGTTTCCCACTTGAGTATTATATGATTCATATGAATTTATGAGTCATTTGTTCCATTTCAATAGGACAAAAAAGGAGAGAAAAGAAAAATAATTTTTTTTTATTTAAATGAATTTCAAAAAGTGTTGTTTGAGAGAGAGAGAGAGAAGGAGAGAGAGAGGGGGGGGGGCGAGCTAAATGGATTAAGATGAATACTGAATTGTGTTTGTAAAGTTTTAAAGATAAAGTAAAAGTGATGCATTTGTCATTATCATAAATAAATAAATTAATACAAGTGTGGATGATAGAAGAAGCATCTGGAAGAGATATAATTTTTTCTTTCCCCCTCTCCCTCTCTCTTTCTCTATCCATCTCTTCCTCTTTCTCAACCTCCCAGTCTCTCTCTCTCTTTATCTCTTCTCGCCCTCTCTCTCTCTTTATGCATTCTATTAGAAGCTGTGGATGTGTGCCTCCTATGAGTTGTAATGACACTTATCCTCCAGCGGTAGAAAAGATTTTTCATTTTTAGCCAACGTCTCCATCAACAGCTTTGTCTTTTCATCTATTTTCTGCTTTAAAATCTCTTCAGAATAATTCGTCTTCTTCGATTTCTTTTTTTCTCAAACTCTCCTCGTTGTTATCTCCTGGAACAGTTGATTCGCTCGATTTTGCAAAACTAAAAATTCATTAGAACATGTGTCTCTTTACTAATTCTTATCAAAAAAATATGAATTTCATTACTATTCGAGTTTATAAATAATCCTCTCTATTGACTAGTTTTTCCAGTTCAATTTCAAAAAAAATTTCAAAAAAAGGAGAACTTTTTGACTTCGTTTGCTCGCTGCCTCTCATGCTTCTCGCTTTTCACAGACGGCTAATTAGGGCGGGCGATGTTCAAAAGGAAAGTTTTTGTAGTTTTTACTTTTCAAAATTTTCTCGACATCACGCTTTCTTCATTTCTATTAATAAGTTTCAAAAAATGAAACAAAAAACCTCAGAGAAGGAATCATAGATCTCGAGCTGTCTATCTTGTTCATTATCCACACCCCCCTATCATTTACCTTGCTCCCATCAAACACTCACTCACACATAAGCTTCAATTTTTCTTTTCGAAACTTGTTCTTCTTATTTCATTTCCGATACTTCCTTGATTCGATGTGAACCTTCTGCATTATTAACCGTATTAGCATGTTGCTTCACCTTATACTCATTGTGCATTGTGCTCTTCAATAGCCTTGCAGAAAACGCGCTGCATTTCTACCGTAGTCTCATTGATTGCTCTCGCGCGCGTGTCTAAAATTTCCCAATGTTCTCACATTTTGATCTTGTCATTTTCATTTGTGGAGCATATTTCGATGTTTTTATATATAATAATAGTATAAATAGTAGCAAACTAGAAAATAAATTTAAAAATTGACTCATCAGAAAGATTGATTAAGCTTCCTAAGTTTTTCAATACTTTTCATGTGGACCAACACAGGCGGCACGCAAAGTTGTTCGTGTTCATCACTCATCTAGTCAAATGATTTTATAATATTTTGTTTTATTTTTGTTTTACTTCAAACCGCTTAACCGTTCGCATAGATTATCAAATAAATTCATTTGGAAAAAGAAAAATCTTCAGGTTTACCCCTCGTGCCTTAATGGGAGCCGCCGAAGTTGAAAACCTCAGTCAGCAAAATGCTGAGCTTGCTACGAGTAAACCTCGCGAAAGACAGTTTCAGGTGAATACTTTCTATATAATTAGACACAAGTTCCGCTATTAGGTTGTTCCTATGCCAGGAGTTTTTACTAGAGGGCGATGGAAATGCTGGGATTATCTTGAACCAAGAGACGAGGTGCAGGTTGAGAAGAAAGAAATTTTAGAATTCGAAAAAGATAAAGGAGATTCAACGCCAGGTGAGATTTTTTTGCAAATCATTTGGGAACAACCGCTTAGTGCAAAAGAACGGACATAAATGAAAAGGGAACGCTAGCTTTCACTTCTAGTCTGACTTTGGTGATAAGCGGTTGCTTTTTTCGTTGTAACACTAATTAATGATTTCTGATTCTTTCAGTGACAGATTCCAATGCTAATACGGTTAGTGTTACTCCCATTGAAGTAGCTTCAGATAGTGTTACCAGTACTTGTATTTCGTTTGATGCCGTAACATCTTCTGATTCCATCCCTATTGTAAGCTTCACACGCGTTTGTTATTGATCTCTGTTTTTCTTTCAGAGAGAATCATCAACTATAGTAGTGACATCTGTTGGACCTGCACCAACAACGAATCTTCATGGAACTCCTCAAAGCTTGAATGAGAACCTCACAAATTTTGTCACTCCGGTATGAATCAGTTTTAAGCTTCAGTTCATGTTCATTCTCACAGGTCGTACATACTCATGCGGAGACAGTGATAGGTTGCCCTGTGATACACACTGTTGCTAGCTCATCCTCAAGTGACTTCGGTCAACAGGTAATTGTGATATTCAGCCTTTTCAAAGTTTTTTTCTTTAGCACATTCCTGTTTCCTCATCAGCGACTGGAATAGCTACGCTTCCGTCTGTTCAATCAACTCCGGTTAGTATTCTGTTATTTATGTTTTCTCATCACAAGGTTTAAGATTTTACGGCCGTCCGAAACTCCAACACAGTTGGATGATGATGCGTAAGTTCATTTTAAGTTTTCGTTTGTTGTGTATTTTTACTCATGAAATTAGCCTAAGTATCATCTCTTATTTCCCTCACCTTCTGCTTGAAATTCTTGTTGCTCTGATTCTTTCGTTGACAGCCTTATCAGTGTTTTTCGATTCTCCAAGTATTTCCTGAAGAGGAGGTTAGAGGAATTTGGGACGTTGAAACTCTTTTGGTCTAACGACCCTCAGCTATTGCCCAGTCTAGTTTTTTTTTCAGATCTTCCGGAAATAATGGAACACTCCAAGCTCCAAACGTGGCTGCCATCGATAATAAGATTGAACAGGCTATGGTTAGCTTAAAACCAATTTAGACATAATAGAATTCCTTCTTTTCTAGGATTTAGTGAAAACTCATTTGACCTTTGCTGTACGGGAGGAAGTTGAAATTCTAAGACAAACTATTTCTGATTTGGAAATGAAGGTGATCGGAGGAAATTAATTCTTTGTTAACTAGTAGATT